AAAAAAAAAAAAAAAAAAAAAAATTAGCTTATGACAAATTCCACGAAATACTCAACTACAATGATTTTGTTTACAAGTCAGTAGAGGTCCCTAGTCATTCACATTTCTGTGTAAAAATTGATCATAAAAAAGCATATAATTATGTTGTCTCTTTAATCACAAATTAAACTCTCTTTCCCTCCCCCAGTTACTCTAAGTACAAAAAAAATTACACTTCCCACACAATAAACTTACAGCTGGATTTAATGGAGTATCTCAGTAATATTTAAAGATAATAAAACAGAAAAGGGTGACCCACCACTTTCAATAGAAACCTGTCTTTACAGCCTTCTACTGCAGGAACAACCTGTCTACATCAGGAACAATTGTGTGGAGTTCCAGTATGCATAAAATTTAACACAAACAATTTCAGCCTCTTTCAGTAAGGGTTTACTATGAGAACCAACAAGTTTACTGCAAGCTGGCTACTAAACATGTAAAGGTCAATAACAAGATGCACAAAAGTTCTACATGGCGATCATCTTGTGCTGTTTACTGTACCTACTGCACTGAAAATTCCAAAATCAAGGATGGATATGACTGCATTTCGTCAAAAAGTCAGGATACACACTCATAATTCTTGTCTTATTCCAGAAGAACAATTGTTCAAGGAATTCTAGTGAGAAGTCTAACAAAGTAGAAGATTCAAGTGACCTTTGAAGGGCTGAACTGACATCATGGAGCCTTTGAAAAATAGTTTTTAAAAGGAATTGCACCTACAGCAATGCACATTTGAGATAAAATGGTAAACTAAGACCTAGATATAAATGCAGGTAACTGGAGAAAATTGATTACCAAAGTAATTAGCTAGAGGCCTTCTTTCAGGAAGCTGCAAGTCCCACTTTCCTCTCCGCTGTAAAACAGCAGACTTGAGAATGCAGGATCCAGTGTGAGTAACAAAAAACAATGATGTAATAGTCTTGAAGAAACCATTTATTTTAAATCCACTTTCTCATTTTGATAAATCTTGCTTTTGTCAAAGTCACCTCTTTTAGATGTAACTACGAAGAGGAGAAAGACTGAAAGATAGAAAAATGAAAAGGTACCAAACTTCTGAAAGAGCACAGTTTTAAAGCTACTGCAGAGACTTCTGTCAGCAAAAATGTAGCCCAAAGAGGCATGAGAAGCATGATCCCGGATTTAAACAGCAATCACAGAAGAAAGACCTAGTATTGACACCGGTTTTCCAATATACCTTTGCTTTTAACAGTATAGCCAGTTACCTTTGTGTTCTGACAAATGCTGTAGATACAAGCTGTGGATGCATGAAAAGCTCTTTCCCAGGATTCCTATCAGAATTTTTGTGACACAAAATAGGCACGACTTTGGCACTGGAACAGAGATTGGTCAAAGATGTCCTTTCCTAATAAGTTCCTCATGCACCCAAAAAGAAATAAAAAAATAAATAATTTTAAAAACCAAATGATGGTTTTTTTGGGGGGTTGTTGGTCACTAGTGTAACTAAGAATAAATTTATATCTCCTTCATGCACGTTTTTCATGTCCTCTCACGTCTCTTCCACTCCTTCAGGCTATGAGCAAGCATTAAAAGAAGACAAGATTTTCCTCAAAAGAGCATAAGCACTCAACCAAGTACATGAATTATTTATATATGGGACATTATCAAATATCCTTGTATTCAAAAGCTTTTTAAAAATCTGATTCCTATCTCCCCAAGAGACCACAGTGGCTCTTATTTAATTACTGTGGTCTACCAAAACAGCAAATAATAGGAGAAATACTCCCTTAATGTACAGCAGTGTAACTCCCTTGATGTACAGTAATGCCAAATCTAGGGACTAAAAATAAGCATTGGAATCTGTCTGGGGGGGAAAGTTGTGTCTAGTGTAGCTAGAAGAAGAGCACCTCTGACATGGTTCATTTTATTATTTATTTGATTTTCTTCCTAAAAATAGAACTCTAAGTTTCTCCACAGAATTAAGTTCAGTAGATACTGAAATCAAGAGAATAATAACGGAAATGCTGACATGCATGAATATATTAATTTAGTGATGTAAAACAAATATAATAAACATAAAAACAAAATCTTACATACTAAAAGTATCTTTAAAATGAAAACCTGATTTTTTTTTCTGACAAAACAGCATGGACATTTTACAAAGCATTATAAGCCACAAAAGAAAAATTAATTAACCACCAGTGTGCACTTAAGTCAAAGCTTATTCATTCTGAGTTTTCATATCCTTTCATTTTCAGGTAGTAAGATGCTGAAAATCATAGCCCCTGATATACCACTCATCTCAGAAAGCTTTCTTCCGTGACTATTTCCCTACATTAAATGGTGGGTTTCTGTTGCCTGTGGGAGTATTTCAGAGAACAACGGTTCTAGAAGAGTGATAAAATTTGATAATCAAAACCATAAAAATGTCAAAGGGTTTCTAAGACAGGTCCTATTGGCCTAACAACAACAACAACCCCTAAAATTGCCTCAAAGTGAAATAAAGATTATTAATCTGCGAAACACTTACACAGTAATATATAATTACCTTAAACAGGCCAAACTAACGTTCTACAAGACTGCACTCTAATTTGTGCTCTTTAGTTACACATCTCACTTGGCTGTGGTAAATTTACATACTGGTGGAGATGGTAGATACATATCCAGAATACAATGAACTTCAACCCATTTCCAGTGACACTGGAAAGTACCTACCTACTAAAGGTAGGTATTTTAAGACTATGTATGTTTACAAATGAGCAATTTTAGGTAAATATCTTAGATTGAAATTTTATTTATTTGTGTGTTTCGTTTGCTTTGGGGATAAAGATCTTTCATATTCTGTTCAATTCACTTGTGGCCTCTTAAGAGTGGCTGAGAGGGAATTACTCCCATCATCAACTGTACAGTGGAAAAAAAAAAGGTTTAGAAGAAAAAAATAGAATATTCTAAAATATAGTCCTAGTTCTCATATCATGTGAAGCACAGTGATATGAGTGAAAATTTCTTTTGATGAATATGAACAGCAAGATTTTCAGCTACAACTGGGTGGTTCTTAAGTAAGCAAGAAAAGTACATAGCAAAAGGTGGCTAGCTTGACCGATAACCATTAATGGTCTCAAAATTACTCCAAACAGTGCCAAATGTAATGACTCTCACTTGTTCATGCTCTTCTTGTGATGCACATACATGCAAACACAAACACACACGCATGCAGAGAGGGCTGATCAAAAGCCTAGTTTCCTTGGGAAATGAAGCTAATTAAAGAAAATGCTAATCACTTATATCTAAAAAAAAAAGAAAAGGCCAAGTTTTGAGTCAACCATCACTATTTTTTAATAAAGAACAACCATATTCTAAGTCCTTTATGCAATATGGAATAAAAACACAGTTTCCTTGCATTTGAATGGAAATTCCAATGTTGATTAGTTAGGTTTAGGTTAGACTTAGATTAGGTTAGACTTAGATACTTGCTGTTCTTTAATATGCATTCAAAGAGTATCCCTCTAAATACTTAGATATCATTATTATTACAGTACTCTCTATTTTCATTTGAAGTGATTTTCTCTCACATAGCACTAACAGCAGTATATTTACAACCCAAGTACTTGCCAACATAGATGTATTAATCAGCTTAATCTGGAATGGATTTTAATTAGGTCTCATGTATAACCTTGTACCTTGCCAAAACTAAAACAAAGGATATAAAAAATGATTATAAAAGATTAAAAAACCAGGTTATGAACACACTGCACCCTCAGCTTACAAAATATTGTAACTAAGGAACACTTTACAACACCTGCGGTAACACTCATTTTTTCAAATTAATGAAAAACTGTACTGCTTTGGCACTGGACAAGAAAATAGTTTTATCATAGTCAGATAATATAATAATAATCCTGAATTCAAAAATTATTTAAAATATAAACAAAGAAATTTAATTCTAAGAACAATTTCTATCACTGCTGCTGGCATACTCACTTCTGTCGCGCTTACGAAGAAAGCGGCTCAGATACAATCCGTGTTAGGAAGCAGTACTGTATATCTAGAAGGACTGCTCTTTGCCAGTCTTGTGCTGTGGTTTACTATTCTTTGGTCGCTAGTGATAGATTGGTGGATCTGTTATGAAAGCTCACTCTATGGCAACGCCCACTTCTATGACTCATCTTGGAGTTTCTTGCCTTTTTTTTCATTCATGTCAGCCTTTGGTTGAAAGCCACTACTAGGGAAATTTTAACAGTCTCATCTCTCTCTTGCATAGCAGTGGAAAATATTTGGTCTGTGACGTAATGATCACCATTATCTTTCAAATATTTGAGATGGGAATTAAAAATCCACTAAAAAAAGAAATAAATCTCTAGTTATCTTCAAACTATTTAAAAACTAAATCACAGTGTTTTATAAAAGTCTCCTCTTCATATCCATCTAGGATCTTGTGAGGGAAGCACTAAAAGTCAAAAGGTCCCATCTGTACCAACTGTAGTCATTTCTACCAAGATATATCACAGATCTTCCACAAAAAAAGATACAATATGTAGACATTGTAACTTCTGGAAAAGTAAGGAGTTTTTCCCCATTTTCTTTAAACACCCCGCACACAAAGCCAATTTCTGAAGAGGCAACTTCCGTCAAATAGTTTAGATAACCTGTTTTAGCATCAACTACCATATTGACAGAAAATGAGGCAGGCAGTCTCCAGAGCCCATCTGTACAACCCTGTACACTTTTGTACAAAGAGCTCCTAGGAAACAAGTCAGCTTGCACTGAAGCCTCTCCACCCTTATCCAGTCACTCCATCTGTGCAACTTCACTGTTCCTCTGCATCCACAGACTTGGGACATTGTAGGATTTGTTCCCAAATGCATAAGG